AAGATGAAATATAAAGCAGAATATCCAGTAACCAGCTATGAAACTATCACAGATGCCAGAATTTTATAATGACCTGGGCAAATTTTTCATAAGCTATCAGTCCATCTACTAATGGACTAAATTGTTGTACTTTTGTGGGGTTTTTTTCAGATTATGCAGCAAATCTATCACCTTTTCTGAGGTCAGTGAAATTGCAACATCCTTGCAATTTAAGTTACTTACTTCTCAAGTAAACAGATAAATTAGGTTACCATAAAACCCAAGATGTATCTAAAGAAAGTGGCAGCTCTCCAGGTAAAAAGAATCAGCCATCTGCTCTAAAAAAATCTCATAAAAATCAGTGACAGATCATTTCAGTCATCGAGAGAAACTTAGAACAGTGGGGCCATAATCAGCCTCATGAAACTACAGGAGTCACACAACAGGGAGGCTGCAAATAAGCCAACAGGCTATTCATCATTTGCTTTGCCACATGCAGGTTCAACATCAACCTTAAATCTTAATTTTAACAATTATTATTGTTGTTGCTGTTGGTTTTACTTGCTGAGGTCTACTTAAAACTTTGAGACAATCTCTAGCTGGTAAACCTGGGTTTTGAGCACTACTAGACAAAGGAGTAGATAAAACAGATTGAGAAAACAAGACCTTTCTGTTTTGTTTCTTGGAGCGATTCTTCTGTGTAATGACTTTTCAGATAGTCAATTTGTCACGTTTGGATTGAAGGTATTGAAGAGTCTAGAGGTTAATTAGAAAAACAACAGCTGACTTTACTGAAAGAACTTAATTCAACATTTTGAACAAACTGTTTTCAACCTAGATGATCTGTTTGGAGCTGGTTTGTGCTGGAATGTCACCCACACAAATCTTGCCAGGGAACGTTAGGTGACAATACGCTCAAAATTATGAAGCTCCTGTTGGAACAAAATCAGTGGCTGAAAAAAAATTGCTTAAAGGAGGAAGCATTTACATTCCAGTTTCTAATTTAGCTATTACTTAATTAAATATAAAAGTTTGATGTATTTTTTGCAAACATCTTCACACAATCTGAAGTTCTTGTCACCACACTGTTTTTCTTCATGTTTTTCCCTTTTGTTTAAGCTCTTGCTTCAGGCCTTGTTCCTGGATAGGATGTTGATTCTTTAGACTGTATCGTAGACCATCTGGCAATTTAAAGTTAGGGATTTAACAGATGCACCTGAAGGCTGTGCAGCCATTCAGCAAGATCTAGACAGACTGGAGAACTAGGCAAAGATGAACCTAATGAGGTTCAACAAGAATAAGTGGAGTCCTGCACCTGGGGATTGAAAACACCATATAGATTAGGGGTTGACCTGCTAGAAAGCAGCCTCATGGAGAAGGACTTTGAGTCATGGTGGACAAGTTATCCATGGGACAGCAATATGCCCTTGTGGCCAAGAGAGCCAATAGTATCCTAGGATGTCTTAAAAACAGTGTGGCCAGAGGGGCGAAAGAGGTTCTCCTCCCCCTCTGCTCTGCCCTAGTGAGACCACATCTGCAGTGCTGTGTCCAGCTCTGGGCTCCCCACTTCAAGAGGGACAGGGATCTACTTGAGAGAGTCCAATGGAGGCTACAAGGATGATTAAGGGACTGGAACATCTGTCATACAAGGAAAGGCTGAGAGACCTGGGGCTGTTCAGTCTTGAGAAAAGAAGAGGGCAGCTTACTGTCTATAAATATCTGAATGGGCCAGTGTCTTTTCAGTGGTGCCCTCTGACAGGACAAGGGGAAATGGCACCAAGCTACAACACAGAAAGTTCCACCTCAACATGAGGAAAATCTTTACTGTGAGAGTTGCAGAGCACAGGGACAGGCTGCCCAGAGAGGTTGTGGAGTCTCCTTCTCTGGAGACTTTCAAGACCCATCTGGACACGTTCCTGTGTGACCTGCTCTGGGTGTTCCTGCTGCAGCAGGGGGGTTGGACTTGATGATCTTCAGAGGTTGCTTCTAACCCCTATGATTCTATTATTCTATGATTTGTTTCTTAAACAAAACAACAAAAAAATTGTTTCTATCAACACTAGATTCTGTTATCTACAGCCCTAGGGTACCTGGGCTAGTCGTTCCTTCCTCAGAACTCACCTCAGTTTCTTTCTGTTGGCTGAAATTAGCAATGATGAACACAGGAATAAGCAAATACCACCACTCCCCCCCCCAAATAATAATAATAATTTGCAAATATCTTATTCTCTTGCACTGTCATTTTCTTTCCCTGTGATGAAGGTGTTAAGCATCTGCAGTGGAAAACACAGCATCTCAGTGTGGAAGATGCTCAAAAATCAAGATTGAGAAAGAGGAGTCTTTTCCACAATGCACATTTCATAAAGACAGAGATGCTTACCCCTGGAGTCTGATCTTTCTGCTGTTAGAAAAGTCATTACTCTTGCTGCTGAATTGCTACATGAAGAGTGCCTGTGGCTCCAGGGGCACCCTCAGGCTCCCCATATGCCAGACAAAGGAAGGCTAATTTTCTGCCTCTAGAAAGAGGAGTGCTGGGGCATAGAGTCCCTGGATACTATGAGCTACTTATAGCTATGCTGCATTAAGGAGGATTCTGCATTAAGGAGGTTTCTGCTATTTAGGAAGGGAGAGCAAGGAGTGGGTAGGACCCTGTATGCCTGGATCACACAGTGTCACTCAGACTTGCTCCAGAGAAATATGAAAGAATACAGAGAGAACTAAAAAAAACAAAACAAAATCAGAAAAAAACCCAAACAAAACAAAACAAACAAACAAAGAGGGTAAAATCCTACTGAAGCAAATGGTAGAGAGTCTTTCCTTTCTACCTATGTTAATGTTTTGCTCCAAAGGAGCAAGGTGAATGCAGGGATTTGCTCTACAGGTAGAAAACCAAAATGAAACTAAAACATGAGCAGATGAGAAATACTTGGACAGCTTTAAGAAAGTATGACAAGATCAAATTTTGTACGATGCCAGCCATGCTGACTGCTGAAGTGCAGAGGACAGGGGGTTAAACAGACAAAGACCTACATAAGGCTGGTTTGGGGTTAAAGTGTGAAGTGCGACCTCATTGCCAAAATTAAGCCTTTGATCTGCAAAGAAGAGAAATGATAGTACTGACAAACAAATGAAAAAAAAAAAAAAAGCACAATGTGAGTCTTTGTTGAGGCTGAGTGCTGTCAAAGGAAGCAGCAATTCTCTTAACTTCATAATGCCAGCCACCCTGTATGAAGCAAATGAAAGCAGAGGTAACATGAGGAGCACTTACAACAGTCTGCCCATCAAGGTGACCAGGGCATTTGATTTACACGTTTCTGTTACCTACTAAATATGTCAAGCAATTAAATATCCATTTTTTCTTACTGCTCAGGTGAAGTCAATGTTTTTAACCTCCCTCTCTTGAATCCGTGTTGCTTGATCTCCATGGAACTGTGACACTTCATCCTGCATTAGATTGTAATACTAAAATGGTGTTCACTCATGCAGGAGAAGAGCTCCCTAGGACCCTACTGGGATACAGGCAGTGGTGAGTGATGAGGTAGGAGTGGGTTTTGGTCAACTGGCATTTATGTGTGCTGTATATTTTATGTCTCCAAATCCAAATAGCAAACACTCTAAAAAATTAGTGCAATGGCTTTAATTAGAAGAGAACAGGAAGAAAGAACCTATAATTAAATATATATATATCGTGTGGTTGATGCAGTGAGTAGTGTCTTTGTCATAAGACACAGCGAGTCCCCTCGGCTCTTGGGCTAGGTTCAGTCATCAGTCAGCTTCAAGGGCAATCACTTCTAATTAACAAGTCTTTTGAACTCTTCCAGGCAATATGGCCCAGACCTCTGAGGTACTATAACAACAGGCAGACATGCAGCTCTTAAGGTTTTCTGTCCCTTATGTTGACTTCTTCCAAAATGTGAGGCAGAAACTTTCTTCTATATAAAATTAAACCAACATTATTGTGGTTGCATTTTTATGCCATGTATGTGTCCCCCCGAGTGTCACTAGAGAACCACCTTTCATGCTCTTGGTGATTTTGCAGGAGTATCCATACAGAAAAAAAAAACAAAGGCCACTCCCTCTGTCCAAAAAAAACATCCCCTTCCTGTGGTTTAATGAGCAGTGTTAGAACTTGACACTAATAGTACTGGTTTGAGTTGGGTTAAATCTATCTGACCTTGTGAAGTTAGGTGGCATCCATCTCAAACCTTGAGTTAGTTGTGTGGCAACCACAGGGTGTTTTGAACAGAGGGAGCAGTGTATTTTGGGCTGAAAGAGGGTTGAAGGAGTAAACAAAGCCACCGCCTTGCATCTGAGGTTAGATTTTTCTGATTTGTGGTGTGTTCGGGACCAAGCTGGGAGAAACCCTTTTCATAGAGACAAACATGATTTCTATGAAGACACAGAGAACCCCACCACCAGTTTCTCCTCCTAATTGTAAGAACGTGCAGTATCGCTGATAACCTTGCTAAACCCGTGATGATGGGATGATATCATTACTGCTCTTTGATCGGCGGATACGAGGAGCTGCTATTCTTATCCTACTGTTTTTGCATTTAGCTTATGGAAAACACAAACAGGTTCGCCACGTTCTCCCATGCTCCTCTCTCTCTCTCTGCTTCGGGTTGCACAATGGCAGCAGATGGGACGTGGTGCTCAGGAGGAGCAGGTCCCACTGCCGGGCACAGCCTACGCGAGGGACTCGCTGGGCAACTGGCCGGTGACCCAGGGCATCGCACGCCACACCAGCCTGCTTCATTCAAGGCAGGTATTTAAAATACTCCAAACCTCTTTTCATCTGAGCCACGATGGGTGGCCGGCTTTGGCAGAGAGCAATTTCGTGGCTGCGCAGATGAGCTGCCCTGGTGACCCATCTGCTCCAGGGTCACGCAGCAGCGCTGGAGTCACACCAACCCAACCACCAGCCCCCACTCCATCAGGAGCGGGGGAAAAAAACACCAACACATACTTATAAAAAAGACAGGTCCTTTAGAGAAAAATAAGCAAACACCCGCCTCCTCGCAATGACCAGCCCCTGGGGAATTCCAAAGGCGCCGGCACCCCAGGCCAGACTCGAACTCGCGAACCGAGAGCAGGCGCGCTCCACCCCACCCTGCCCGGCGGGGAGGGGGGCGCAGCACGCATGCGCAGAGCCGCCGGCCGGGGG